TTTTGCACCAACATTTTAGGATATAGCTAAACACCATCATTCTCTATATCATATGTGTTATCTGCTTGTCTGCTTATCCAAAGACTGTTATACTCCAAGTACTCTGGATGCTAGTATTACTCAAATAATACCACTTGTTCAATGATCTGAGTTGTCTCATGTCTCACAGTTTTCCATGTATAACAACAAAAGCATGTTTTTTTTTTTTTTTCTAGTGCCTATCTTTTAAGAGATCCTGCTACTTCACCCAGATTGTGAGTTCCTAGGTGCTAGAGGAAATGTTTTATTCATCTCTGTTTCTTATCAGCATTTTCCACATAGTGTGTCTCATACTATACATATATATATACATACATATATATATGTATATATATGTATACATGCATATACATGCATATACATACATATATATTATTAGCATTTATGATCATCTAGTTCTGTCTTAAATATTAACACATTTCTATCAATCTAAGTATTTCCACATTGTCTTATCTTACCAGAAAGAGGGTCTAGACCTTCACGTGTACCTACAACTTGAATCTCCTTACTGCATCTCAAAGAATCCTGCTTGTCTCCTAGTCCTGCCTATCTTACTTTCCTATTCACCAACAAGGCTTTATTCATTAACCAATAAGAGAAACATATTTACAGAATGACATCTCCCATCATCTCTTCTTTTGTCTAAGTAAAATGAAGGATTTTAACCTTAACCTAGTAAATATATAACAAAATAGTTATCAAATAACTATAGTTAACAATATTTAGTCCATTAACATTTAACAAGATTAAAAAAAATTCCATGATCTATCCTATCTTCGTGAGATTAATGTCTCATATGTTATATAACTTATCTTGAATCCTAACTAAGGAAAACTATAACCATAACTATCTGTGTTCAACTGTTTTAAAAAACACAGAAGGATAATAATATGTAAACTCTAGACATGACAGAGACCTGGTCAGTCACTCCAGGTTCTTCTGTAATGTTTTATCTTCTGCCTATAAGGCATAGAGTGTCTTTCAGACTCTTCAGCAAAACAGAAAACGTTAAACTGCCCACCCTTATTGTCAGTTAATTAGCCACTTTTCTCTGTTCTATAGAAACACTTCTTAATAAACGTATTTTGAGCCTGGTCATCCTGCCAATGCTGACTTGAAGTATGAGTTTGAGTTTACTACAATCTTGGACAAGAACTACAAAGTGAAGTTGTTACTATTTTAAAGGATCATCAGACAGAATGGGCTATATGCTGTCCTTCCTTTTGTAGTAGGTGAAGGCCCAAAGTGACATAAAATATTATAAAAACATTTAAAACAGGTCAGAGAATGCTTACTCTTTTTTTTTTATCTACAAATATATAAAGAAAAGCAGAGAGACACTTTTTTGTTTCTTGAGCAATTTTAAGTATCACACAATTTTCACCTTTGTATTTCACTGATGATTTGTTTTTTCATATGTTAGAACTGGAAAGTAAATTAAATGAAGTATGGTATACTTTAAATAAGCTTTCTGGATGAGGGTAAGGCCACAGAAAGACCTAATATTTCCTAAAGGTGTTATATTGTAGACAATCATAGAGGTCTGGATTCATCTAACCTTTTCATTTGTACTAATTACATCTATAACAGTCAAAATGACAATGCTTTGACAGTGATGCAGGCATGCAATTTCATCTCAGCAGAGGGAAGAAGCCTACAGAATAGTCACACAGAGACTGTGTTTAATACATTAGCAAATAGAGTTTTCCTTTTGAATATAAATACATATGGATGTAATGTTATTCATACCATATTGAAAAAGGATCTTAATGTTGCTTTACTATATGCTTTTACTTATATTTCTACCTAGAATCCATCTCATGTAAGAGTAAATTTCTTAAACATTAATGGCATTTGCCAGCATTGTATCTGATATGATAATTTGTTAACAAATTCAGAACTGATGTACTATTTATCATTGCAAATATTATTGTCTTACATTTAAATAATTATAATTAAGTTAGTGTTTCCTTTTCATATCTCAAAGACAATAGGTGTTAGCAATCTGAAACAATATGGTGAGAAGGGAGAGCAAGGCATAAAAGTTATCCTCTGAGCCCAACAAACTATCTAGCAACTTTGTGAAAGTACATGGACATGCATATACAAACACACGCAAACACACACACACACACACACACACACACACACACACACACACTGAACGTGAAAGAAAATGAACATTTGTGAAGTCATAGAAGCAAAATCATGACTATGAAGACTCAGTATATTCTACCACCACCTGCAATTTCTTGTTCTCTATATCCACAAAAGACTGTTGTTTCACTGTCTGTACATGTTAATAGAGGTTGTATAGATTGAAAATTAATAAGAATATATGTTTACTACCACCATGCCATTGTATAATGTACAACTATTGTCATTTATTGGGATGTAGTGATTACAAAATAATCTTCATGATAAAAAACAATGGCAGCTGGAGGGACAGTTCAGAAGCTAACAGCAAATAAAATGCTTCTGAGGAACCAAGTTTGGTTCCAAGCTCTCATGTCAGACAACTATCAATTGCCTATAATTCCAGATTCACACTGTCTTGTGGACTCCACAGGCATCTGCATAAATATTCATATGCAGACATGCACATATATACAAGATAAAAGAATTCCTAAAAATGTAGCCAATGTTCTTGTCTATAAAATGTCAGTGTTAACTTGCTTTTAGGAAAACGTAACAAAGGAAATATAAAGTAGTCATATTTACTAAGATTGTTCATGGTTTGTACATATCATTTACAAAAGAAAATACAATGAAGCATACGTCAGAACAAATTTTCCTTATTTCTGACTCACAGAGACATACCAGAAGTCATGAAGCATATTGCATTTCACCCAACAAACAACAATGCTGGAAAAGAGCTACTTTTCAGAGATAGCTTCAAATTAAATATAGTCAATAAGGCATAGAATATGCCTCTCAGAGAACATTATAAATGACAAATATATGAAATTTGATTCAGTAGAAAGTATGTACTATGAGTATTAATGGCTAACATTATGAAAGTAATTTAAAATAATAACGTGTTTCAAGCATTACAGTATTAGACTTAAGTCAAGTAGTTAATTTGATAATACTAAACACAAAATTAAACATTTTAAATAGCTTGAGACATGCTTATCTCTCTGTGAGAAAATAATGTAAGATTGTTTTAAATTTCCACTCATCTTCCTTACTTTTCAGAAAGGTAAAACAAGTGAAAAGAGAATGGACAGAGATGGTCTTTCACAGGTAAAAGTCATGGGATCTTGACATAACCTGGAATTTATCCTTTAGTCTAGCTATCACTTTTAGAGTTCAAACTTAGAAATTATTTCATACTTCCTAATACCACTCACTGACTCCATTTTAGCCCATTTTGCCTCCCTATTTTTATAATTACTTTATACCATTAAGATTGTTTTATTTTATGTACAATATTCTTTAAAAGGCAATGGTTTCTCAGGAAAATTTCCACTACAATATTTTACAATGGTAGTAATAAAGTGAAACTTAAATTATGATAATAAACACCAACAGACTTTATAGATGTCCTTATATAATTTTATTCATTGTATTCCTTAATAATGGTATTTTCAGTATGTTTTCACCTCTTTTTATATTCTTTTTTGCTGGAAAACATTATGCTCCCAATAATTAAATTAAATAATTTAAGTGGAAATACCACTGTCATCAATATCTGATTTATAAATATTGTGAGCATGAATGTGAGGATTTGTTTTAATTAATTTGATTAATGTAGATAGACTCAGATATCTAGATATAGGGAGGGGTTCCCTAAATTGTGTAATTATGGAGAAACATTTCATAACCATATTCTATAATTTAGGAAACTGCACAAGGCTGCACGTATAGATGAAGAGCTATAGTATTTTACTGGCTACTGTGTGAGAAAGTCAGTATTCTCCAGGGATCATTCCCAGATAGATTAACTGATCACGTGTCATCAACTCTAAATTTGTGTACATAAGAGCAAAGCTAAATAAATTCCCCAGGCTGTATTTATAAATTTGTATGTGAATATATATATATATATATACATATATATATATATATACGTAAAATACCATATATACATATATGTATATATACAGATATATACATATATGTATACACACATGCATATATATATATATATATATACATACATACACACACACACACACACATCACAAATAATTAATGAGAGGCATAAAAGAATAAAGAATCCAAGCCAAACACTGAACAAGGCAAATGAACATGCATGCATGTTTGATTTTTAATATGATGTGGCCACCTGTCTTCTGTTCCCACTGCCATGATGGACTATAACATGAAATTGTGAGCATAAATCCTTTTCTTTAATGTGTTCGCTTTAAGGATATTTCAGTATAGAAAAATAAATTAAACTGGAATAGTCATTGGATGCAGATATATATTACAAACTTAAACACAATGCTTATATTCTAAGGTTTATCTTTCCTACTATATTCATTCCAAGCTACACAGATCACCACATTCACACAAACACACACACATATAAAAAGATACTAGCAGATCTCATATGTGAAAGCATAGATAATTAGAAGTGCTTATATACCATAATTTTATTATACCCAAAGAGAATATTTAGAGCAATGTTTCCAGTAAAAATTTGAGATTGTAATTTAAATTAATTGCAAACAACTAGAAGCAATAAGGTTAGTAAATGCAAGCTGCCCAGAGAGATCATTTTTAATAATTATTTATTTAATCACTCTTTAATTTAATTAACAATTAATACCTTACTGAATTAGTAGACATGCTGTATGCTTCTTATCCTGTTGAGAGTTTTATACTATGACTTTCCACAGTTGTAATATAGCAGTTTAATTGTTTCAGACAAGAAAGGGCCATTATAAAGATTATGAGTGTGAGTACAGGAATACTGATGTGAATAGTAGAAAAAGGGAACGATAAAGCTTTACCTCACAGGGCTGTTGGAAGCATCTGGGTCATGAGCTGCTACAGTCCCAATGATATTTCCCACCTGTGTAGCTTCTGATACCTCCATGGGGTACAAGGGTGAAGAAAACACAGGGGGCTCATCTACATCCTCCACAATTATCTTCACAGTTGTGGTGTCACTGAATGGACCCAAACTTAGAAAGCGGGGATCGGCATCACGATTTGCAGCTTCTATGCGCAGGGTATAACTTGTTTTGGCTTCAAAATCGAGTTCCTATAAAGAAAGTTATTATAGAAATTAAATTACCAATTACATAGTCAGCAAAGCAAGCCTTGTCATTTGTGAATATCAATAGTTGTAGAAGAGACTCTGTCATGAAAATGCATGATCAGCATTCAAACAAGTAAGATTTTATGGCCATTAGAGTCCTTGCTAGATTTTTTTGGCTCAGACCATTGTGAATACTTTGAGCTAATTTAATCCATTCTACTGCCATGCATTTCTGGGACAAACACAAGTCTTCATAACATTATCTGAAAGAATGTGATATGATTTAATATATTTTCCAACAGGGCATCAGTATAATATTCTTACCTTATATAATCCATCTACCTTATTCAGGAATTATTTTAAAATGGAAGGAAAACCTTGTGTCTACTCAATCTATTATTTAAAAGATGAGTGTCTTAGGGGGTTATGCTCATATTCTGAGTTCTCTGGTGGCTGAAAATGTAGAATTAATGACAGTGGAAGTGTATGGATTTGTCTCAGACACATACTGGAGCCTTTGTATAAGGATTTACTCCTTTCTATAGGGCACTCACCAGTACTGCTTTCTATAACAGCCCTTTGCTAAACACAAAAACTCTCTTCTTAGATAGCTGATACCTATATTTCAGAATTTAAAATTTTTATGTGTTATCCTAAGAGGCCTAATGATGTTAAAATATCATTCAAAATAAGTCAGTAGAGGCTAGATTACAAAAAATAATATTGCTACAAAAAAGCACCATCTGTTCATAATAAGAATTATATGTGTGGTATGAAGATGCTTGGAAAAATAACATAAGGAGAATTACAGCACCTCATAGCTTGTGTTCTCAATGTTATCATTGAAAACTGTCTTCAAATCTTCTACATATAATGACACAAAACTGAAAGACTTCAAAGAACTATATTTTTGTACCAACAATTTTATACATATATTAATATCACATATACACACTTTATAACAATTACTACATAATGAGTATTAATAATGCAGATCAAATTCTGGTTTCCGTATGAAAATGATGGATAAATAGTACCACATGTCTTGTTAGAAATTCAGCATTAGTTTAAGCCAATTTTGTGTACATGTTTTTTATTATTATTTTATTGAGGGCACTATATATGCTTTCCATCTCATACCAAGTTATACCTGTGGAGATGAGAGAATAATTTGTGGCACCAGTTGTGTCCCTCCACCTTTGCCTTGGATCTTCAGATAAACCCAATATTCCAAAGTTGCTATGGAACGACTCGTCTCTACTGAGACATCCCATCAGACCATCCCTCCCTCTTTCTCTATAGATTAAGAGGGTATATAGTGAGACTAAGAGGGTATATAGTGAGACTCAGCATTTTCCTTCTCCTTCTGTGAAGATTTGATTCGTAATACTCAGGATATATACAATCACAAGTCTCATTTACTGAAGTAAATGACAAACAATAAGAGAATCCTTCTTATCCAATATTATGCTCAAATAAACAGGGAAGGTAAATGTTCCATTTCCCATCTTTTTACAAACCAGTGCAAACTCTAAATTACTTTCAAGATATTCAATCAGGCTGTCAACATTTCCAAAAGGTATAATAAGTACTTCTAAGCTCAAGGAAACATTTGCCTCATGTGCACAAGAACAATTTAAAATTAACTTTAAAAAAGAAATGTAATTATATTGTAGTGACATATTATAAACAGGTCTCTAAGGCAGCAACATGAAGTACACTAAATGTATTAAATTAATATAAACACAGCAGTATGTATGAAGATAATCCATGTAGTAGTATTGTGAAAATAGAATAATCAATGAATTTATACAAAGTATTATAAACCAAGATTCAAAGATTGTTGCATGAAAAAATAGTTGAAGAACATGTCACAATAAGCCATGGATCCAATTGTTCAAAGGGGAAATGTATTATAAAACTTGATAATATTATGTAATAACTTGACATGTATTGGAAATGATATTCTAATTTTCCTTCCTCATTATTGATATGTTGCACAGAAAATCTATTTACAAACTATTATATTTGTTTATCTGGATAATCATATACAAAATTGTAATGAAAACAGAAAAAAAAGACTCAGGAGAAAAAAAAATGACAGACAAAGGGACAGAGGAAAAGAGTCTGAACTGGTTCTCTTTAATTTTTGAGACTCATTAGAAACCAGCATCACATTAATGTAATGCATAGTAACAAGATTAATGAGGCTGGTAGTCCAGGAGTCATGGAGATAACAATTACTGAAGTCAAAAAGCTATTATGGAAATACAGGTGCCACTTTTTCATCTGTAGATTCTGATGGCAAAAAAAGAAACAAATACAGATAAAATCCATCCGCTGACCATAAAAGAATTCATATTTAATGATCAGCAACCATGGAAACATTAGCATTAAAATAAAATTATATATATATATATATATATATATATATATATATATGGAGAGAGAGAGAGAGGGAGAAATGCCATTTGCTGTTCCTCCCTCTCTTCTGCGTTCTTTTTTTACATTTATGGAACATGTGGTAGAGATCATTGTCTTCTGTATGGAAACTTCTCTAATCTACTTGCTTAAGAAATAATAGGCCTCTACATCAGGAAAAATTCCTTTCCAAGTACTTTTGTTCATATTTTTCAGATGCATTTACATTTTTAAATTATGTGTATGCATTTATATCTCAATGAGGGTATGTGCATTTGAATGCAGTTTTCCAAGAATGCTAGGAGAGAATGTCAGATTACCTGCACCTAGAATTATAGGCAAGTGTAATTGATCCAATACGTAAGCTAGAAACTGAACCAGAGCTCTGTGCAGCAGTAGTACATGCTTGGAAATTGTTAGTCATTTTTTCAGCCTCTTTGTTCACATCTTTAAAATACATTTAAGTAAATGTGAAGTTAGTATTTGTTTTGTGTTTATTATTTATGCTTTTTCAAACTGTCATGCTGATAACTTAATCACCCCTATGGCACTGGGAGGAGAACTTTGACAGTTTTGGGAAGGAAAGCCCATTCGAAAGCCTGTCTCTTAGAGGGGGCTTCCACAGTCTCATTGCTCTATCTGCCTTATAATTGCACACTGAGCAGAGTCATCTCACAGCTATGGGGAAGGTTATCAACTGCAATTGATTTTGCCTTGACAGTGGACTTCCCAGGTTCCAATAGCTAAATAAACAGATTTTTATTGTTTAATCAGCACATTTTGTTATTTTATTATAGAATCTTAGATGAGAATGTATAGCATTTTTAAGAGTTGCGAAAAGTAAATAATAAAAACTTTTAGAGAAATGTCCTAAAGTTCAATTTTATGAGGAAGGAATACTCTATGAACTCATGGTCATGTAGGTTCCCCACCAAATAAATTTCTGCTCTAACAGACAGGATTTCTTCCAGATTTCAGATGTATAGAGCTCCTGCACACCTCACTTACAATATGGGTTTTTATGAATTTGGAAGAATACAAAACTTATCAATAGCAGATGGGGGCAAATGTCACATTTTATCTGTTCCTGTCATCTCTGAGAAATAAGATGTACATCATAGATGACCAAGACCTCCTTTGTCTCTATGCATATACAATGAAGCCACAGCTGAGATGCAGTTTTAATAAATGCAGTTTTAAAAAGGAAAAATACATAGCAGTACCACAGCTTTTATATCTTCATTTCCTCTCCTATGTAGGACAACGTTTTGTTCTATTCATTCACAAAACAAATTACTTAATTAATGGAGCCACGACTGATTTAATTCCCATTGAATCAACATATGCTTTTAATATATTTAATAAGCTAATTACAATACATTTCTCTTGTCAGTCCACCTGGCTCCTGTATTATAGCCAAGCCCATTGTCATTGTACTCAGTGATCTTGTACCTTTGGCTAAAGCTTTGTGTGATAAATTAGTATAATATGCAAGCTAAAGTGCCATTATGGCTAACTAATATTTGTATGGTATGCGTATGTTCTGTTTTATGTTTAATAATGATTTGCTATAAAACTTGTTCAGTTTTTATCATTTAAAAACATTCTATTAAAGGTCTAGAGAAATGGCTCGTTGTTAAAAGCAAAAGTTTTCCTTCCAGAAACTCCAAGTTTAATTCCTAGCAAATAAATCAGACAGATCACAACAATCTATAACTCCAGTTCCAGTGATGTAAAACTTTCTTCTGTTATATATGTTATATAGGACATACAAAGACATGCCTTAGACATAGACACATGCACATGAATATAAAATAAGTCAGATTTCATCTATTTTATATCAGACATAAGCTTTTCTTCCATTATAATTCCTTCTTGATTTCATAACTATCAAACTTATAACTTCTGAGTAAATGATGTCAAGTGAATCAGACAATGTCAATAGACAAAATAGCTTTTGTTCTTTAAAGATAATTTCACTTTAAATAAACTTACTGCTCAGAATTTTCAAGTGATGTATAACCACAGAGAAAGCATGCCTGCAAAATAAGTTCTATACATATGTAATCTGTAGATCATGTAACATGTAATAATTAAGATATTTCCAAAGTAGATTCTAAAAGCCAAACACAACTAATTTTTATGTAGAACTTTCCCTGGGTTGTAACCCAGAAGTTTTAGTTTTTTTTTTTGTTTTTTTTTTTTTTAATTTTACAATGTGGTTTAAATTTCAACAAATCATAAATATGTTTTCAGCATCTTTTAGCTAAGTTACTTTACACACAAAAGCCCCAAATTCTGTGCAAGTACAAGAATTCTATTCTATTCATATATTTTTTTCCCATTGGATCCATCACACTGAATATGGTCCTTTCTTACAAGTCACTGGAAATTACAGAAATTTCTTATTTATTTATTTATTTTGCATATCAATCCCAGTTCCATCTGCCTCCTTCCCTCCCTCTTTCCTTTTCTCCCCCATCACATGCATCTCTCCCACCCCCCACTCCACATGTAGAGTTATGCTATCCAGGAGAAGTCCTAGTCCCTACTTCAAATAAGTTGACAGAAGTTCTTAATGT